GTTCCGCCTCAACCTTTCCAGCCTCTTTCCACCTTCCCAGAGAGTTGGGTGGGCAGGGAGGCAGGGATGATCACACCTCAGATTATCTCAGAGTTCCAAAGCAGGGAGAGTGTAGTTAAAAAAACAGATTCAGCATTAAAATTGTTTTGGGAACTTTTAGCATTTAATTATTTTGAGAATGTCAAAAATAAGGAATCTGATGAGGTATTCCTCATCAGGCTATTTGTAAAAAATTTTGTTATGGAGAATTTCAAACTCATATGAAAGTAACAAAATAATTGAACTCCCATCTACTTGCCACCACACTTCAAACAATTATCAGCATGTGCCAACTTGTTTATTTCCACTCCCATCCATACCCCACTCCTTGGTGATTTTAATGCATAATCCCAGACCACATAGCGATTCATTCATAAATGTTTCAAGAATGTAGCCTGGCTCCTGTGTGCCTCTCCATACCAGCTAGTACCATTGCCCTTCACCAGACAGCTCTGGTGGCTGCCTGCCAGTCTGGATTAGACTGGTACAGAGCAGGCAGGGACTGGCCAGTAAGTTGCTCCGTCCCTCCCTTTAGGACATAAGCGTGTAATCGGGCTGTTGAGACCCATGAAGAAGAGCATGGTGCCTGTACAGTGCAGCTGGAAGCTCCGTGGGTGAAGGTGACCTCAGGTGAGTCTGGGGGCACTTGCTGTGGGCAGGAGACCGAGAACCCCGTTCTGGAGGCTGGCCCAGCCTTGGGCTTTATAGACAAGCCCTGCATCACTGCCGCTTCTTCTCACCCTCAGGAAATGACCATTGGTGGAGGCTCACAGTGACGGTGACCTCTACACCTTGGGCTGCGGGAGCAGGCCAGCTGGCCGCCCGTGCCTGAGTTATTTGCAACCGTGGTGGGCCGGCAGCCTTGGTAGGTGACTTGATACCTCCAGCGAGTCAAGTTGCAAGCCACACCCCGACAAAGACCAAAGGCAGGAGCGGATTCTCTGTGGTTCCAGGCTTGCATCAGGTGACCTGCAATGTGGTTAAGAACTCAGGACTTGGAGACAGACGACCTGGGTTTGAATCCTGGTTCTGCCCCTTACTAGCTTGTGGGACTCTGAACATAGTTTCTCACCCTAAACCTACCTACCTCCAAACCCACTTCATTAGGTGTTGTGAAGTTAAATGGATTTATTAGAAGAATGTCTGGCACATGGTAGGTTCCATGAAATGTTACCTGTAGTGGCTGTGGGACTCTGAGCCATATGTACATTCTCTTGTTCTCTCTTGATTCTCTCTCTATTGTTTCTCGTCATTACATTCGTGGATAAGGTCGCCTTTCTTCTCAAGGCTTTGTAATGCAACGGAAACAGACTCAGTGGCAGAGAGAAAAGAGGCCAGGCTGTGTCTGTCTGTCACTAACCATGACTTCCTCTCTGCCTACAGAGCGACCCTGGTCCCTAAGTGTGTGATGCTTGAAATCCAGGAAGCGGGAGGCGCCATGTGAAATTCCAGATGCCTTCTGTGGTGCCTATTTACCTTCGCCATCTCCCGGAGGCCACGTATATGGCTTTGGCCTCTCGACTACCATCAGCTTGGTAAGTCCCAAGCTCAGCACAGGCATGAGCAGCAATTTGCGGTTCCAGTCCTGCTCTACCAGTCATTGATTGTGCACCTTTGAAGGGTCATCTAACTCCTCAGAGCCATAGTTTTGGTCACCTGAAGTGAGAATATCCATCTCCTGATGGTGGCCTCACTGCGTGGACTTGAGAAGGCAGCTCCCAGAACACCATCACCCTGACAGATCTATTCTCGCCTTCCCCCAGGAACTCAAGGCACAGAATCTTGCTCATCACCCGCAAACTAACATCCTTCAAGAATTCCACCAAGTCCTGGGGTGGGCTTTCTTCTGGTTGGCCAGCACCATACAGTCTGCATGGATTCAGAAGGGTAGGGCCTCCAGGTTCTTCTCTAGGTTGGGGGTGGAGTGTTCTCTATGCCCAGGCCTAGCCAGATTCCTGAGACCCTGGTGCTTGGAACTGGGACCTATTCCATGGGCTGTGCCAAACATGGGTCCATGAGGGTCACCCTCCTCCCCTCAGAGTCCTGGTTCCCTTCCAAGTGTGAGTTCAAAGGGGCCCTATGGGAGGCCGGGTGCGGTGGCTCACGCCTGTAATCCTAGCACTCTGGAAGGCCGAGGTGGGCGGATCGCTCAAGGTCAGAAGTTCGAAACCAGCCTGAGCAAGAGCGAGACCCCATCTCTACTAAAAAAATAGAAAGAAATTAATTGACCAACTAAAAATATATTGAAGAAATTAGCTGGGCATGGTGGCGCATGCCTGTAGTCCCAGCTACTTGGGAGGCTGAGGCAGAAGGATCGCTTGAGCCCAGGAGTTTGAGGTTACTGTGAGCTAGGCGGATGCCACGGCACTCTAGCCCGGGCAACAGAGTGAGACTCTGTCTCAAAAAACAAACAAACAAACAAACAAAAGGGCCCTATATGGAGGTTCTCCTAGGCCTCCCCCAGAACTGGGAAGAGACACTGCAGACCTTCTTCTGATGGCCCTGGGCATGGGGACAAGCTCCCTTGGACTTGGGGACTCACCTGGCCTATCGCCCATTTTGCCTGGAACACACCCTCCGCTACTGCTCATCTCTCTCCTTCCTCCCACAGGGAAAGCGTACAGCCTGGGCCGGGCTGAGTACGGGCGGCTGGGCCTTGGGGAGGGTGCTGAGGAGAAGAGCATACCCACCCTCATCTCCAGGCTGCCCACCGTCTCCTCGGTGGCTTGTGGCGCCTCTGTGGGGTACGCTGTGACCAAAGATGGTGAGTGGGGTCCCACGCTCGGTCTGGTGGGGGTCTGGGTGTGGTGACTCTTACCAAACTTCCCAGCAGGCTATAATGTCCACCATCAGGTGGAGCTGACGTGCAGAGTGGTGTTTGTGATGGCATTTGCTCCTGATTCTCACAAGCTTGGCTTTGTTTACTCATTTATGTTTTATCAAAGTATTTTAATACAGTGGTTATATTGTTCTGCAGAGGAGAAAAACAGCAAAGAGCGACACAGGGAGGCAATGGGACCTGCAGCGAGGTTTCCAGGTTCCTAACCCCAGGCTTCTCTGCACTCTCCTTTGCAGCCACCCCCTTTCCGTACCAGCTTGGTGTTGCCAGCTTTCCAGGGAGTTGCCTTAGAATCACTTAGAATCGTATCAGGAAAACAAGGCTCAGTAGTCAGGATCCTGGCGAGCACAGCAGAGGAGGATGTGAACAAGTGGCTTCCACAGCCTGAGTGGTCAGGGGGCTGCTGTGGAGATCTTTAGGATCTGTGCTGGCAAATATCCTCCTCTTGCTCAGGCTGGTCTCAAACTCCTGACCTCGAGCAATCCGCCCGCCTCGGCCTCCCAGAGTGCTAGGATTACAGGCGTGAGCCACCGCGCCCGGCCTTGCAAGCACTATGTTTTAATATTATCTTTGTAAAAAGCACTTCTATGTGCTACTCAAACCCCCCCACAAAAAAAAAAGTCCATTTAGATTATATTTACTGGAGTGTAACCGTTTGGCAATATAGCAGGTTGGAAGTACCCCATTCTTAGCAACAGATCCTGTAATTGGTACTTAAAATGGCCTGGGCATTGTGTTAAGCACTTTACATGCAGTAGCTTGTTTAATCCTCACATCAGCCCTGCAAAGTAGGAATTACTGTCCTCAGGAAAAGTCCCTGTTTGTTGAAGTGACTTGGAGGTCAAGAAGCCGAGAGAGTGGCTCATGCCTGTAATCGTAGCACTCTGGAAGGCTGAGGTGGGAGGATTGCTTGAGCTCAAGGAATTACTCACAGTCCTCCTAACAGGCCTTATGTTTCTCCTTTTCATGCCTTTGTACTTACAGTTCCCTCTGAAAAGCTCTTCACACACACCTGCTTTCAATTGACCTAATTCCCACCTGTCTTTCAAGATTCTACTGGCAGGCCAGGCAAGGTGGTTCACACCTATAATCCTAGCACTCTGGGAGGCCAAGGCAGGAGGATCCCTTGAGCCCAGGAGTCAGAGACTATCTTGAGTGAGAGTGAGACTGTGTCTCTACTAAAAATAGAAAAACTAGCCAGGCGTTGTGGTATGTGCCTGTAGTGCCAGCTACTCGGGAGGCTGAGGCAGGCAGGAGTTTGGGGTTGCAGTGAGCTATAATGATGCCACTGCACTGTAGCCAGGTCAACAAAAAGGAGCCACAAACTACACAGACTAGGCTGGACTCTAAATGTCTCTACCTGCACCCGGAACCTCAGTTTCTTTTTCTCATTTTGCACTTAAGAGTTAATAGGCCAGGCGCAGTGGCTCAACCAAAAAAAGAGAAAGAGTTGATTGAGTTTCATTTGGGTATTATGTATTGGGATTCACTGGATTTTTTTTTTTAGTGCTGCATTTACAGGAGAAATAGGGTGGATCTTTTAATATCCTAATCTGTGGTCCCAACCCCTGGGCTGCAGAGCTCAGCCAGCCCGCCCCTCCTTACCCTCCCCACCTTGGAAAAATTATCTTCCATGAAACTTAGGAAGGGAGGGACACACAGCAGGAAGCATGAGTGAGCTGCCATGGGAGCCAGTGAAGTTCATCCGTATTATAGCTGCTCCTCATTGCTGGCATCATCACTGAGCTCTGCCCTCCACCCCCAGGGGAGGCCCCCCCCCAGCCACATGGAAAAATTGTCTTTTATGAAACCTGTCCCTGTGTGCCAAGGTTGGGGAGCTGCTGTCCTAATTCCAAACAAGATTTTTGAATACAGTACATCTCAAGAAATGCTTACTGGGCTGCTTGTATTGTTTTCAGCAGCTAATTTTATTTAAATATGATTCTTGCATAATAACTTTTCAGACCAACTTATGTATCTTAGTGTAGATTTTCACAAGCGTTCGAGCAACCAGATCCTACAAAGCTGATGTGTTCCAGTATGGTGGTCACAAGCTACATGTGGCTATTTACAGTTAATAAATCTTGTTTTAAATTTGAAATAAAGTTTCCAGTGTACAGGCCACCATTTCAGGTACTCAGTAGTCACGTGTGGCTAGTGCCTATGGGATGGGAGCATGCAAATAAAAAACATTTCCATCATTGCAAAAGTTAGAATGGTTGTGCAGATACTAAGTCTGTATATGTGTAATAGGAAAGTTTAATTAGCACCAGGAGGATGTTCTTGGATGTCAGTGACTCTTGGAAATGAACATGGTGTAAAAATTTTTAAATGTATTCTGTGTTTTTTTTCCTTTGAACTTCGTTTTGATGCAGGTGCATATAATTTTTATCTTTTTCTTTTATTTCAGTATTACAGGGTACACACATTTGGTTATATAAATTGCTTTTGTACAGTTTGAGTCAAAGTTTTAGTGCACCCACCCCAGGATAGCGGCACTGTACCAGTTAGGTATGCATTTACTCATCGTTCCTCCTCCCTCCCACCTGCCTGATTTCTGATGAGTTCTTTTTCATATGCAAGCCATATTTTTTTTTTTTTGTTGTTGTGTTGTTGTTTTTGAGACAGAGTCTCGCTTTGTTGCCCAGACTAGAGTGAGTGCCCTGGCGTCAGCCTCGCTCACAGCACCTCAACTCCTGGGGCTCAGGGATCCTCCTGCCTCAGCCTCCCAGTAGCTGGGACTACAGGCATGCGCCCACCATGCCCGGCTAGTTTTTTTTCTATATATATTACTTGGCCAATTAATTTCTTTCTATTTATAGTAGAGACGGGTCTCGCGCTACTGCTCATCTCTCTCCTTCCTCCCACAGGGAAAGCGTACAGCCTGGGCCGGGCTGAGTACGGGCGGCTGGGCCTTGGGGAGGGTGCTGAGGAGAAGAGCATACCCACCCTCATCTCCAGGCTGCCCACCGTCTCCTCGGTGGCTTGTGGCGCCTCTGTGGGGTACGCTGTGACCAAAGATGGTGAGTGGGGCTCCCACGCTCGGTCTGGTGGGGGTCTGGGTGTGGTGACTCTTACCAAACTTCCCAGCAGGCTATAATGTCCACCATCAGGTGGAGCTGACGTGCAGAGTGGTGTTTGTGATGGCATTTGCTCCTGATTCTCACAAGCTCTGGCTTTGTTTACTCATTTTATGTTTTATCAAAGTATTTTAATAACAGTGGTTATATTGTTCTGCAGAGGAGAAAAACAGCAAAGAGCGACACAGGGAGGCAATGGGACCTGCAGCGAGGTTTCCAGGTTCCTAACCCCAGGTTTCTCTGCACTCTCCTTTGCAGCCACCCCTTTCCGTACCAGCTTGTGTGTGCCAGCTTTCCAGGAAGTTGCACTTAGAATCACTTAGAATCGTATCAGGAAAAACAAGGCTCAGTAGTCAGGATCCTGGCGAGCACAGCAGAGGAGGATGTGAACAAGTGGCTTCCACAGCCTGAGTGGGTCAGGGGGGCTGCTGTGGAGATTCTTTAGAAGTCTGTGGCTGGCAAAGGTCGTCGATCTGAGAATATCTGGAAAGACTTCTTGAGGAAGTGGAGCTTGCACTGCACCTCAAAGGTTCAGTCCTTTGTGAAAAGCAAAGGGTGATGCCCCAAGTAGAAGAAGATCTAGCACAGTCTCAGAGGGGGCTGGTCCTGAGAACAGGGTGGCATAGGGCCTGAGGGAGCAGCCAGTTATGGGGGACCTTGAATGCCATGCCTAGGAGCAGGGAGAAACCTTTGGCAATGTGTAAGGACTGTGGTCTCTGGTTTACAAAGTTCTTTTTTATCCATCATCTCCTTGGCATCTCCCAACTTCCCTAAACTCTCTAAGAGGCTGGGACCTTGTCAGGCTGCTATTGGCCAAGGCCACAATTCACCCCCATGTCCCAGGTTTCTCATGCTACAAAAAGGTGGGGCTAGATGTCCTGAAGATAGCTGTCCCTGTTTCTCTCCCTTGCAGGTCGTGTTTTTGCCTGGGGCATGGGCACCAACTACCAGCTGGGCACAGGGCAGGATGAGGACGCCTGGAGCCCTGTGGAGATGACGGGCAAACAGCTGGAGAACCGTGTGGTCCTATCTGTCTCCAGTGGGGGCCAGCATACAGTCTTACTAGTCAAGAACAAGGACCAGAGCTGATGAAGCCTCTGTGGGCCTGGCCCCCATAGCATCCCCCACAGAATAGGGAAGATTCCAGCAGGCTCTCCCCAGCCCTGAACACTGTGTCATCTGCCTTTTTCCCATCAGCAGAACAGAATCCTTTTCCTCTTTTTCTTCCTCCTTTTTGGAATCATCCTGGGACCTGCAGGATGATGGGGGGATGGATGGGAGGTTTCTCAGAAGGAATATTGCTCACCAGGGAGCTATGTGGTTTGACTTTTGCTCCCATTTCCCTACCTTCCATGTTCCTGGCTGGCCCTGGCTTTACCTACCAGGAAACCAAAACTTCCTTGCTTGGGAGTTTGGTGCCCACACTCTGAGAAGTTGGGTCTCCATCAAGCTCCACTCTAGTCATGTGCCCCTTTCCTGTTCCTAACAATCCACTGGCAGACAAATGGTATGGTCATCAGACCAGCTGTCATGAACCCATGCCTGAAGGAATCTGGGGAAAAGGCAGGGCTACACAGCCAGGGAAACCCAAGCCAGATTTTTGGCTCTGATTAAGTGTCCATGGGGCAAAACAGAATGATCCTCCATTTGACTGAGAAGAAAGCCAACTAGCGGTTCTCCCAGAAGCACAAAGCATTCACCTGCCCCTCAGGCAGTGCTTATATCTGCCCATCTATTTGGCTTCACCTGCAGCTAAGGGCCAGAAACCTCAAAGAAGCCACATATGCAGGGCAGGGTAGGACAGAGCAGGACAGGGTATGGGGTGAGAGAGGATGGAGGGTTTTATAAGCAAAATTATAGCAATATTGAGCGGGAAGGGGAAGAGGGTTGGAGGAGAAGAGGCTGGTCCCAAGAAGGAAACAGCAACTTGTACAGTGGCTGAGAAAATAGAAAATAATTTTGATTTTTTTAAATTGTAAAATATTTTGGAGGGGAGAGTGAAATCTTTTAAAACTTTGAATAAATTTAGAGTTTTATAAAACAGGCCACTTGTTTTCTACATACTCCCTGCTTTTTTAAGGGAGCACCTGCTATGTGCTGGGCACTGTTGGGAAGGGCAGAATAAATTTACGGACCTGGTGTCAAGGGTATAACTTAAGTGATGTCAAGATGTCCTGAGGGTGCTGGTAGATGCCAACCGGCTGCCAAGGTAGCTATTCCAAGGGTCTCCAAATCCACCAAAAAAAGAGAAAAGAGTTGATTGAGTTTCATTTGGGTATTTATGTATTGGGATTCACTGGATTTTTTTTTTAGTGCTGCATATTACAGGAGAAATAGGGTGGATCTTTTAATATCCTAATCTGTGGTCCCCAACCCCTGGGCTGCAGAGCTCAGCCACGCCCCCTTCCTTACCCCTCCCCCACCTTGGAAAAATTATCTTCCATGAAACTTAGGAAGGGGGGGACACACAGCAGGAAGCATGAGGTGAGCTGCATGGGAGCCAGTGAAGCTTCATCCGTATTTATAGCTGCTCCTCATTGCTGGCATCATCACCTGAGCTCTGCCCCTCCACACCCCCCAGGGGAGGGCCCCCCCCCCCAGCCACATGGAAAAATTGTCTTTTATGAAACCTGTCCCTGGTGCCAAAAAGGTTGGGGACTGCTGTCCTAATTCCAAACCAAGATTTTTGAATACAGTACATCTCAAGAAATGCTTACTGGGCTGCTTGTATTGTTTTCAGCAGCTAATTATTTATTTAAATATGATTACTTGCATAATAACTTTTCAGACAACTTATGTATCTTAGTGTAGATTTTCACAAGCATTCGAGCAACCAGATCCTACAAAGCTGATGTGTCCAGTATGGTGGTCACAAGCTACATGTGGCTATTTACAGTTAAATAAATCTTGTTTTAAATTTGAAATAAAGTCTCTCAGCGTACAGGCCACATTTCAGGTACTCAGTAGTCACGTGTGGCTAGTGCCTATGGGATGGGACCATGCAAATAAAAAACATTTCCATCATTGCAAAAAGTTAGAATGGTTAGTGCAGATACTAAGTCTGTATATGTGTAATAGGAAAGTTTAATTAGCACCAGGAGGATGCTTCTTGGATGTCAGTGACTCTTGGAAAAATGAACATGGTGTAAAAAATTTTTAAATGTATTCTGTGTTTTTTTTCCTTTGAACTTAGTTTTGATGCAGGTGCTATATATATTTTTATCTTTTTTTCTTTTATTTCAGTATTACAGGGGTACACACATTTTGGTTACATAAATTGCTTTTGTACAGTTTGAGTCAAAGTTTTAAGTGCACCCATCACCCAGATAGCGTGCACTGTACCAGTTAGGTATGAATTTACTCATCCGTTCCTCCTCCCTCCCACCTGCCTGATTTCTGATGAGTTCTATTTTCATATGCAAGCACTATGTTTTTTTTTTTTTGTTGTTGTTGTTGTTTTTTGAGACAGAGTCTCGCTTTGTTGCCCAGACTAGAGTGAGTGCCCTGGCGTCAGCCTCGCTCACAGCAACCTCAAACTCCTGGGCTCAAGGGATCCTCCTGCCTCAGCCTCCCAGTAGCTGGGACTACAGCATCGGCACCATCCATGGCCGGTCTAGTTTTTTTCTATATATATACTTGGCCAATTAATTTCTTTCTATTTATAGTAGAGACGGGTCTCCTCTTGCTCAGGCCTGGTCTCCAATACTCCGGCAATCGCCCGCCTCGGCCTCCCAGAGTGCTAGGATTACAGGCGTGAGCCACGCCGCCCGCGGCTTGCAAGCACTATGTTTTAATACTTATCTTTGGTAAAAAAAGCACTTCTATGTGCTTACTCAACCCCCCCCAAAAAAAGTCCATTTAGATTATATTTACTGGAGTGTAACCGTTTGGCAATATAGCAGGTTGGAAGTACCCCATTCTTAGAACAGGTCTGTAATTGGTACTTAAAATGGCCTGGGCATTGTGTTAAGCACTTTACATGCAGTAGTTGTTTAATCCTCACATCAGCCTCCAAAGTAGGGAATTTACGTCCTCAGGAAAAGTTCCTGTTTGTTGAATTGACTGTGGAGGTCAAGAAGCCGAAGAGAGTGGCTCATGCTGTAATCGTAGCACTCTGGAAGGCTGAGGGTGGGAGGATTGCTTTGAGCTCAGGGAATTACTCACAGTCCTCCTAACAGGCCTTATGTTTCTCCTTTTCATGCCTTTGATACTTACTAGTTCCCTCTCTGAAAAGCTCTTTCACACACACGCTGCCTTTCAATTGACCTAATTCCCACCTGTCTTCAAGATTCTACTGGCAGGCCAGGGCAAGGTGGTCCACACCCTATAATCCTGCACTCTGGGGAGGCCAAGGGGCAGGGGAGGATCCTTGACCAGGAGTCAGAGACATCTTGAGGAGAGTGGAGACTGCTGTCTCTACTAAAAATAAAAAACTAAGGCCAGGCGTGTGGTATGTGCCTGTAGTGGGCCAGCTACTCGGGAGGCTGAGGCACGGGCAGGAGTTGGGTTGCAGTGGAGCTATAATGATGCCACTGCACTGTAGCCAGGTCAACAAAAATGAGCCACAAACTACACAGACTAGGCTGGACTACTACAATGTCTTCTACTGCACCCGGAACCTGCAGTTTCTTTTTCATTTTGCACTTAAAGGTTAATAGGCCAGGCGCAGGTGGCTCACGCCTGTAATCCTAGCATCTGGGGAGGGCCGAGGCGGGCAGATTGCTCAAGATAGGATGTTCGAACCAGGCCTGAGCAAGAGCGAGGACCCGCTGCTACTATAAAATAGAAAAATTGGCCAACTGAATATTAGAGAAAAAATTAGCCGGGCATGGTGGGGCATGCTTTTTTTTGGTCCCAGTTACTCTCGGCGAGGCTGAAGGCAGTAGGATCGCTGGAGCCAGGGAGTTTGGAGTTTGCTGTGAGCTTAGGGCTGAACCATGGCACGTACTGCTTGCCGTGGACAACAAAGTGAGACTCTGTATCAAAAAAAAAAAAGTTCTCTTTAAATGCTTTAGGTATATTAGAACATTGCCAGGTACATAGATGCTCTACAATTGTTTGCTGTTGTGATTATCTTAAATTTTTTTTATTTCCTGGGTAGTTAATAATTGCCTTTTCATATGCTTATTTTGTTTGTATAAGTACCAGGAATTTCCAGTTGCCAGGTATCTATGGATGAAATTGTAATTTTCGTTTTTGGTGTGTATCCACATAGGCTAAGGTACTTTCAATTTTATCTTTTCCTTCATTCTCTTCAAACTAGATATGGTTACCCAAGAAGATGATAATCATAGTACACATAATGGCCTCAGCTATAAGTAATATATATATGTATACTATATATCGATATAGTGGTATATAAGAAGGAGAGGAGGGAGAGAAGGAGAGAGACAGAGTTCATCGCTTTTGCCCCCAGGCTAGAGTGGTGCCGTGGGCGTCAGCCTACCTCAGGGGCAACCTCAAACTCCTGGGCTCAGCGATCGCTATGCCTCAGCTCCCGAGTAGCGCTGGGAGCATGTGCCGTGATGGTCGGCTAATGTGTCGGTAATGGTATATATTAGTTGGCCAGTAGATTTCTTTCTATTTATAGTAGTGCATTGGGCGGTCTGCTCTTGCCTCAGGCTTGGTGTCAACTTCCTGCCTGAGCAAATCTTGGCGCGCCGCAGCTCCGGGCTTCCCAGAGTGCTAGGATTACAGGTGTGAGCCACTGCGCCCAGCCCCTATAAGTAATATTTACAGACTCATAATAATGAGAATGTTCAATCGTGCTTTAACAAAAATTACCATCAGGAGATGGAGAGAGAAGTGTGTTTAGGAGGATGGTCAGTAAAGTATCTGAAACTGTAAATGAAGAGAAAGTTGTGTAAGTATGTTATTTAGAAATACACAGATTCTTGGAAGATTTGGAAATAGTTACCTCAAGGGAGAGGGAGTAGGGGGCGGAGATAGATGGGGTAAGGGCCTGCTATCATTTGTCATAAATTCACAAGTATGTTTTCAGTGCCTGCCATATCCCAGATGCCATCATAGGAATTTGATTAGAAAAACAAAGTGGACAAAGATTCATGTCTCATGAAGTTTACATTCTAAATTAAACATTTAAAAATCTTCCACATGTATAATAAATTTAAAAAATAATAGGCAAAGAGCACAGCACAGTGACAGGGGAATAGTACAGAACAGCTGCCAGTTAGAATTGTCTTGTTGGAGAACTTATTGAAGGCCAGCCATGGGGCCAAGAGCAATTGCTTTCCCATCGTCTCATTTTTTCCTCGCCACCCTGTGAGGTAAGCACTGTGATTACCCACCAGTTAGGCTCAGAGGTTAAATAACTTGTCGAAATAATTAGCTAGAGGTGGAGCTGGGATTATGCTCCATGTTTGACTCTATAGCCAAAGCACCTAACCCCATTACACTATTGGAGTGACAGGATAAATAAAGCTGGAAATCTGGCAACTCGGGATTGGACCCCTGGTTTTCAGACTGAGTTCTTGGCTTGGGAGCACAACATCCTAAATTTAGGATGCTTAAACTGGTAAGGAAGGACTTCAGGGACCCACTAAGACCAACGGGAGCCTCAGAAAGAGGTCCTCAAGCACTTGGGGTGAGCTTTACTGTCAGAAAGAGATACCAGTCTTCACGTGCAGAAGCTTCCCATTCTGAGCACACAAATGAGGCTGAGGCCAGGAAACTCCCAGACTAGGCGCACCTCTAAATTAAACTCAGAATTATCTAGCCATTCAAACGGTTTATGATGGCCTTCTATGGGCAGGTCACACTGTTCTGGGACACGTTAGGACTTCTCGCGGTTTGGAGTAGGATAGTGAGATTCAAGCAAATTGAGTGGCAGGACTTGGGGATTGGTCGTTGAGAGGACGAGATTACAATTTAGAACTCCTTTTAACCCTCCCCTCCTCCCGCCCCTGGGCCATATACCGGAATAAGGGAAGAATTCCATTCCAGCTCCAACGAA